GATGTGTACACAAGAAAGACAAAGAAGTTAGAAAGGCAGCAAAACAACTTGAGTTACGTCATTTGCTTCTTAGAAAAAACAATCATCAAATTTGACAAAGCCCATGCGACTTCATTGACGCTGCAACGGAAAACGTGTTTGTGAGTTTTCTGTCGCCAAACATCGAATTTCAAAACGCGTTGGAAATTGATATCCCAACGACTACATCTCTGTGTTTGACTAATAAGAGAAAGGAAAAATTGAAATACACGTTTCACGGACAAGACAATTTGAGGTTCTTACTACTTTTTAAGCCTACTACAGGCGTTTTACGGTCAAACGAATCGACTTATATCACTGCAATTATAGTACCAAAGTGCTCCACTGTATTTCATGAGAACATCCCAGTCACGTTCTCCTTCCACAATTTACACTTAGAAGCCATTCAAAAAACTATGACAGACAACTCCTCAACAAGTTCAGAAATCAGCTCTAAAAAGCATAAGACAAAGAGGTTTTACACATATCTCAACTTGAATGGAGAGACAGTCTTTTCCACTAAAATCGACTTTGAGACGTTGACAATAGAAAAGGAGATATTTATCCACCAGAGGTATGGCGATATATACAAGGCGTTGTGGAAGCGGATGGATGTTGTGGTTTTAACCGTAAAGACCGACAATTTGGATTTGAAGATTGTTGAAGACAGATTCTCAAAAGAGCTTGAAGTCATGCAACAAACAACTTCACGATTCATTGTTCAACTACTTGGCACTTCCATGTCCGAGAAATCTTTTTGTTTGGTGATGGACTATTACTCTCTTGGTGTTTTGAGTGTGTTTCGTGAATCACACAAAGTGTCTGATTTAATGAAGATACGCCTTGTGGAGGATATCTCCATTGCAATGGAGTTCCTTCATGAGAAGCAGATCATTCATTACGACTTTAATCCACGAAATGTCGTTGTCGTCACAACCGACCCGAATGAAAATGTGGTGTGTAAAGTCTTTGATTCGGGCATTTCACGAGTCCTTTATTCTCTTGGTGTGTCTGAAAACACCAAAATAGGTACACCCAGGTATTCGGCTCCTGAAACATTCAAAGGAATACCCACATTTATGTCTGATGTATACTCGTTTGGTGTTACTGTTTTTGAAATATGTGTTTGGGGTGATGCATTCCCCATAAATGCGTTCCCCAATGAAGAGGACATTTCTAGTTACGTGCTTAGTGGAAAAAGACCGGAAATACAAGAGAATTGTATTTTCAAAGACTTAATACAAAACTGTTGGAACCAAAACCCTGATTTAAGACTCAGTTTTAAACAGATCACACCAATTGTACAACACATCTCTAAGAATTACGATAAACAAAAAAGAGGAAGTAAAGACAGTAAAGAAGCTAACGAAAATAAAGAGACGAAGGAGAAGACAAGTCCTAAAGTTGAACAAACAGAAGAATTGGATAACTTGAATGGAAGGAGCAAAAGTAAACACTTCATCTCACATAACTTCTCTCATAAAGATAAACATAGTGTGCATGTCTATGGAAGTCAGGACGAAAAAACACCTGATTTATAATAATAAATCAAAAGTCTGTATGTAACTTGGTATTATTTTATTACTTTTACACTCTTATAATACAAAACTTTAATGTTACGTATTAAAATACTACTCGACTTGTCATTGATAAAACATTAAGTAGTGATTAGATTATTTCTCAACATAACTTGCTTAATACTTCTTTTTAATTTCAACTTCGAGTAATTCATAATTGTTAAAACCAAACATAAGACTGTTATGTTTAAACTTGAAAGTCAATGCTTTTTGTGTTTTTGATAACACTTTGTTTTGGAGATGAAATGAAAGTCAAACCATGTGATGGTACAAAACCAAGTGATGCATTCAATTTGTTTAGTGTGTTTACAACAACTGAACCCAAAGGTTACATTATAGGATTTAGGTTGGGAACAAATTCTTCAATTCAATTTGAAACAATGACACTTACTTGGAAAGCAGAGTCGTATTGGAGAACGTTGTATTTGGGCACAGATTACTTGCCAACTATGGATTTATGTGAAGACACTGAAGAAAGATGCCCACTTGTACCTGGTGATCATTATTTTAATGTGCTTGCTGTTCTTCATTCTTATTATTTGGGATATCTGATATTTTACTTTACATTTGATAGTAGTGAATATGGACTTGGTTGTTATACAGGAACAATGGACAGACCGTAAATTATTATTATCTTCTAAATGAAAAAACAACCGTTTTTCTTTTTTTAATTAAATTTACGAAATTCTAAAGTTAATACCTTTTT